CCCCAAGGCCATTAGGTGTGTGATCTTGGATAAGACATTTCATTTAATTGCACCCACATTATTTGGGGCTAATAATTATTTCACAGGTTTGTTATAAATGTCAAGTTTAAAGCATTATAAAAATATAAACCATGATGCTGATGTGTAATTTAGTTTTTAGTACCAAAGAATACACAGTCTGCTTAACAGATACAAACCTACTCTGATTGAGAAAAAAATTCAGTCCTTATATTACACAAATTGAATCATCCTTTAAAATACTAAATTACAAAGAAATGCATAATCTTATTATAGACCAGTAGAGGGCACTACCCACATATGCTATTAAAACTAGAGGCTGGAAATTGAAGTATTACACTATTAAGTGTTAAAGGAAAGTTTATGGAAAACCTCTAGTATGTCAGGCACTTCAGAGAAATACCATTTTGTTTAAATCTCCCTGCAACGCTGTACAGTAGGGAAAATTGAGACCCTGGGAAGTTAATTAATTTGTCCAAAATCACATAGTTCAAATTTTCTCACAGGATTGCTTTTCCACCATATTTTGTGCCTTCCTATGGGGTTAAATGGAGCCCTGGTGGTACAGTGGTTAAGAGCTCAGCTACTAACCAAAAGGTTAGCAGTTTGAATCCACCTGCTCTGTCCTATAGAGTCTCTATGAATCAGAATTGACTTGAGGGCAATGGGTTTCTTTGGTTTTATGGGGTTAAATACTCTGCTCCAATTACGGTTACTCTAGCTTGTTCTGCATAATGTCCATTATACTATAGTATTATTGCCTATTTCCAAATTTTATAATGTGACCCATTAACAACATAGTTAGGTACCACTGGGAGAGTTACTTAAACTCCTTATGCTTTAGTTTTCTCATATGTCCAAGAGGGTTAATAATAGCATGTTCCTCAAAGAGTCAGTGAGATAGTACAGATAAGGCAGATGATAAGTGTTCAAGAAATACTAGTTGCTGCTAACTACTACTACCACCACAACTACTACTACCACCATTAAACCAAAAACCAAACCCGTTGCTTTTAAGTCAGTTCCGACTCATAGCAACCCTATAGAACAGAGTAGAACTGCCCCATAGGGTTTCCAAGGAGCGCCTGGTGGATTTGAACTGCTGACCTTTTGGTTAGTAGCCGAACTCTTAACCGGTATGCCACCAGGGTTTCCACCACCATTAGTATTTATTATATTAACAGTTACCTACTTGTATAGAATGGAAAGAGTGACTGAACTGCAAATGCTGGACGCTTAAACAGAAGAGGCTAAACTCTCTTAAGTAAACACATGTGCTATTAAAAGGGCTCCTCTTATCATGCTCTCTAACTCAGAAACTGCTTGAGTCATTCTGATGCCTGTTTTTCAACATTTATCTTTTCACTGGAAGCAGGTGATGAAACATCTTGCTCAAACTCTCAATATGCTTACAGAAGCTGGATTCTAGAGCTCAGTGTGGTTCATCGAGCATGTGTGTTCCTTCCCATATTAGATAAGATACATTCTGGTTTTACCTAGATTAAATGTTATTAATTGAAATCTAATGTAGTGCGTAATACAGCGCAAAGGGTAATTTAGGCAGTTAAATCAACT